ACAACAACAACATCCACTCATCATGGAGCTCTGGTGGCGTGGTGGTTAAAGCATTAGGGTGTTAACCAAAAGGTTGGCACTTTAAACCCACCAGCTGCTCCACCAGAGAAAGATGAGGCAGTCTGCTTCCATAAAAATTTATAGCCTTAGAAACCCTATGGGGCAGTTCTACTCTGTCCTATAGGGTTGCTATGAGTAGGCATTGTCTCAATGATAGTCGTTTTTATCTACTCATCAACCAACCAAGACAAAACTGGGCTCTACCATCTCTGGTTCCCTACCCTTGTTTCCTGCTATTACCTTTTAGTCGAAATTCCTACTAGGGACCCCGAGGTGGAGCAGGTCACTTACCTCATCCTGAGCAGCTCACAAGTCCACTTTGGACATCTCTTGTGGTTCAAGGAGACATTTACATCAGAAAAAGGAATTAACTCATTTAAAATGTGTCTTTGAGGGTTCCCTTCTCCAGGTCAGGGACCTTCATTGATTTATCTTTGAATCTATAGATTTGTAACTGGGATATGCTTGCCCAGAGTGGGTGTGCAGTTAATGCTTGCTAAGGGAATTAGGGGTTTAAAACAAACAAAAAAACTCACTGCCATTGAGTTGGATCCAACTCATAGTGACCCTTCCTTGGGTTTCTGAGGTGGTATCACTACGGAAGTAGATGGCCCAATCTTCTTCCAAGGAGTGGCTGGTGTGTTTGAACTGCCAACCTTCTGGTTAGCAGTCAAATGCCTTAGTCACTACACCACCAGTGCTCCCATGGTTTAAAACAAGGGTGCAAAATGACCCCATATATTATGCATGATATACATATGTATAATATACTGGGATTATTGTAATAAGATGTAAAACTCTATGGGAATGGATGCAATTATTTTCTGTGCCATAAAAGAAATTATCTGATGAACTACATATATTTAGGTAATACTAGGCATAGATGATGTATTGCACTGGGCAAATCTTCTGCAAAAGACCTCATTACAGTGTTAAAGAGGAAAGATGTCACTTTGAAAACTAAGGTATCCCTGACCCAAGCCATGATATTTTTCCATAGTCTCATGTGCATGTGAAAGCTAGACAATGAATAAGGAAGTCCAAAGAATTGATGCATTTGAATTATGGTGTTGGTGAAGAATGCCAAAAATGCCATGGAGTGCCAGAAACACAAAAAAAATCTGTCTCGGAAGAAGTACAGCCGGAATGCTTCGTAGAAGCAAGAATGCCAGACTTCGTCTCACCTACTTTGGTCATGTTGTCAGAAGGGACCAGTCCCTGGAGAAGAATATCATGCTTGGTAAAGTAGAGGGTCAGTGAAAAAAGGGAAGGCCCTCAATGAGATGGACTGACACAGTGGCTGCAACAAAGACTCAAGCATAGCAAGGATTGTGAGGATGCCCAGGACCAGGCAGTGTTTCATTCTGTTGTACATAGGGCCGCTGTCAGTCAGAGCTGACCTGATGGCACCTAACAACAACCGGCATAGACCTGGGAGCCCCAGGGTGGTGCAAATGATTAATGTGCTACTAACTGAAAAGTTGAGGTTCAAGTCCACTGAGAGGTGTCTTGGAAGACAGCCTTGGTGATGTACTTCTGAAAAATCAGCCACTGAAAATGCTATGGAGCACAGGCTTACTTGGACCCACGCGGGGTTACCGTAAGTTGGGATCACCTGCACAGCAGCTTCTAGTGGTAGGCACAGACTCTTCATAGTGCTCACACTAATGAATAGGAAGGCTTTATAGTACTGACTCTCAAACAATTCTGACCGTGGCTCATGGTCTACTGATGCAGCAATTCTCATATTGCTGTAGAATCTCCGCTTTCATCATGTATGATTCATAATAAAAGTATTCATGCTATGTGCACAGGGACTTCCTGGTGGAGACTGAATCAAGTCCCTGAGACACTGAAATAGTGCCAAAAACATGAGCTTCCTCTGGGCTCAGCCCTTCCTATGCACTGCCTGGTCTCCAGCACCTGGATCATTGTCTGGCACATAGGAGATGCTCAATAAATGCTTGTTGGCTGACTAATCTAATATGATGTTTTGGTTATCTATAATGATTGAATTAGTGGGTTAATGGTAACCAGCTCCAAGTTAACCACACATAAAAATAAGAGTTGTGACAGTGCACATCCCTCCCTCAGAAGAACCAAAAGCTTTGCTTTTCTGGGTCAGTCAGGAGGAGCCTGGTAGCAGATGGCCACGTTTTATAGAGTCACTGCTATAGAGGGGTGTGTGTGTCAATATATATCAGTAACAATAATTATTGAATCTGGGTGTTGCCCACCTGGAACTTTATTGTACTATTTTTTTTTTCTGGTTTTGCTCATATTTGAAGATGTATATAATGCAAACATTTTAGAAATACAGTATAAACATATGTGACATGTTTCACCTAAGCAGACCAATTACAGAGCTTTCTTACCCCATCCACTTTTGCCAGGTGGAGAAGGTTGCCCTGCAAAGATGTTGCCAGCATGTCTGAAGATGACAGAGTCTGCAGATCTGCCACTCCATATGTGCCCAGGAGCATATGGTATCTGAAACATGAGTCCGTAAGGGCCATAATTAAATATCAGTGTAAAACACAATGTAATCAAGGACCACAGAGCATAGGCTTTGGAGCCAGACTGCTAGGTTTAAATTCTGTCCCTACAGTGATTAGCTATGGCACACAGGGGTAGTTACTTGACCACCCTGTGCCTTAGTTTTCACATCTGTAAAGTGCGAATGATTATAATACTTATCTCATAAGGCCGTGGTGAGGAGTAACTGAGTTATATGTATACACTTTAGAACTGTACTTGTCACAGAGCTGTCCATAATTGTTAACTATTCCTATCCTCAGCAAGAGGAAAGAGGAGAGACCTAGAACATGCTCATTTCCACCTATTTGAAGGACCACACAGCTTCCCTGCCCTGAACATCTAAAGTATGGTCCTACTGATGCCAGTAAGAGATCATGAAGAATGAAAGACATGATACCTACTTTATTAGGGCTGGAATATTGCTCCTTGACAACCAAAAGTTTTTGTCATCTTGATCCATGTCCTCAATAGCTCTTTGGGAAGGCACAAGGACAGTAAGGTTTGAGGCGGCTGACAGCATGGGTCGGAAAGAAGCATCCTGAATCACAGGAGGAAAAGAGTGGCCTATTTCATTTTAGGGACAAACAGGACTGACTTAAATGCTTGGCAGAGATAACAATTTCCCATGTGATGTAATTTCAGGGATATTGTGAAGGTCCTAGTTACACCCTCCTTGTCCCACCCACTGGCTGAGATTCATTATTTTGTTTTTATATGAGAGTCTTGTCAAAATGCACATTTTTCTGATTAGGTCACACTTTGTGACAGTATTAGTCATTCACATTTTAGTCTAAACAAAGGGCCAGAGAATAGTCTTGATAAAATCATGTGTGTGTGAGTGTGTGTGCAGAGAACCTTGAGAATCCTGGGATACTTTTGAAGTAAGGACGATGAGGTGATTGTAGGAACAGTTTCAGCACCGGAGAGAGACTGGAGGCCTAATGTAGAACTTTACCTAGTTTTCTCCTTTGCCTAGAGATAGTTCTGTGTGGATGCAGTGGCATGCAGATAAATGTTTAACAACTGGCTCTCAGGGCAGGACGGGGCAGACCCTGGTTTGTAGTGTTTGATAATTTCCATAGTGTCAATGCTCCCACCACAGCTGATTTCAAGTTACCAATGTGATGGCTCTGAAAGTGGAATTGGAATAAGATGCATACAATCAGCTCTTGGGAGCTAGAGTGGCTGTCTCCAGCACACCACCGGGCAAGCTTAAGCATGTGGGATGAGATCAAGCATGATCGGGTTACATGGAAATCAG